TAGAGTTCAACGCGCAATTTCCGCACGTTCAATTTCTGAAAGTTCCCCGGTGACTGCTCTGATACACAGTGCCTCTTCAAAGCATTTTCTGCCATCTCGGGGAACCTAATAATATCCACAAATAAGTTGTAAGTGAAACCTCCACAAAACTGTTCGATTTATACACTTATATAAGCTCTGCAACTGATACCCATAACAGACAAATCAAGGTGAAGAGGCGGTGCTCACATAAATTTAATTTATCATGCAGCTATTTGCACAGTCAAAGCTCTACTCCCGGACGAACTTTTGCAGTTTCCCCAATGGATTTCGTTTGCATCAACATATACGTAATATTTATGTTTCATTCCATTTTGCCAATTGTCGACTCTTACGCAAAGGAGCAAACAAACAATCAGGCAATGTGTCTATTTTCTATGTTCTGTGTGCAAAAATCTCAATTAAAATCATTTCTGGCCGAAACTTTGCGTAAGTTTTGTAACTACAAAATGTTCATCTAATCTATGATTACCGATTTTCTTATTGCCCCTGAGGTTTGTATAGCAATTAAATATAGGATACACGTATCATGATACTCGAGAAATAAATGAATTTAATGAAACGAAAACAAATGAAATATAATGGAAGGGAAATAAAAACAATTTAAATTGCATTTGAGTGTTTGGGACGAGATGTGTTTGCCTTAAAAGCAACTTAAAAGATGAAATGAGTTGTATTTTTTTAACCGTATTATTTCTGTTACAACATTTTTTTAAGCTTGCATATAATTAGTTATTGCTAAAGAAATTAGGTACCCTTTACCAGCGTATCTACGAATGAACTACGAAATAAATAAACTATAAATTAATTACCTGCCAAAACCAATAAAATAAAACAAATCTTAAATACATAAAGTTAACATAAATGTAGAGCAGAAAGATGGGCAAGGCAGCAACGTAGCTTGAAACACGCTTTAAATATAAGTACAAATTCGATTGAGCACTTAACATAACAAGAGGAAAAGGATGAGCTCCACCAGCACTTTTGCGGAGACAGGCCCAATGTGCAGGGTAATGGTAAAACGTAATCGCGTAAAACTTGCCTTGTTCGCTTGCAATGATAAATGATTGTCATAAATAAATACTTACGGTTCCCAGAAAGGAACAAGCCAATGGAAATTGATGTTTAAGACTTTTTATCGCACGATTTCATACGGCGCGACTTCACAGATTGGTGGGAGACCTTTTGCCCAAGTCATTAATCACATAATCGGCACTGCAAAAATTCAAAACCGAGGCTATTTGTACATATGACGTCCCTATTGAGAAACTACCAGATTAGATTGGCAGGTAGACTGTTACGATTTTAATTAAAGCCCAAAATTTGACTAAAAAAAATCTTTAAATTATTTAAAAATGTCAAAATTTAATTTATTAATCAGCAACAAATGGCATTAATGGCACCAGCTATATATACAAATGTAAGGTAACCAAAAGTGCACAATGCATTTGAGTATAAACGTGGGCGTTCGCACACGTGCTGATTGGCGCACACAAACGCAGGCTCGGAAACAGGAAAATCATCTTCTTAATCTTAATTGCGGCACATTAGCACAATAAACCAAACGAATGGCCAGACATTATCATAAATAAAAGAGCAAGCCACCATGGCTCAATATACCCCAGGATGTCCGCCTGATTCCAGACATGTGTCCTGCTCAATGGACATGTTCGCATGGGTGGCTGTGTACACATGTGTGGTTGTTGTTGTTGTCACAATGCTATTATTTTCCCGTCAAATTTCGGCAAGTTTTTCTATGCCTAGCTAAGTGCTAAAAATATTAATAATGTAATATCGCAGAAGCCAGCCATGTCCCATAGAGTAGGAAATGGGTGTATGAGCGTACTAAAGAATAATTTTATTGCATTGTTGAATATTGTTATACCTATTCCGTGTGCAATTTGTTTTGTGATTAATTTTGGTGACAAATGCACAAAATTTGTTCGTTTGGCTTTATTTATTACCGGAATTTCTATATGATTCCATAATTGTGTATTCACACAATTAGGGGAATGTACGTGCAAATGCAGATGGGTCGTAATAGTATTGGTCGAGAACTGACATTAAAAGCATTAACGCCGAAAGGCCTAGCCTTAACACATTTTTAAACAGATTCTTTCAAACACTCAGTGCGGAAAACAAGTCAAATTGCTTAAGTCGGGAGCGCCAGACTTTCAATTACCACAATCACAATATATGTGATTAGTATACAGAGCAAGGATATATCCATGCACAGCCGCAAATGATAATTCTAAGCATATATGTTATAGGCTTTGATACCTTTTTTTGGGCAAAAAGAGAGAAGTTATAGTCTTATGGTGGATGGTTTTTGTAAACCCAAAAGTCAGGGATGAAACATGAAAAACTATTAGCACTTTCAAATTTTAAGAGGATTAAGTTCGTAGAAGGACGGCATAGTTTTAAGGGTATACGAGTGAAAATAGGGGTGGTAGTCGCAGCCTATGTCACATCTGGTCGGGCCGATCGCCAAACTTAAACAAAAACTGAGAACAGCCTCGTCGGCATTGCTGAAATTCAACTAATTTGCGGACACCCAAACAAAAAGAGGAAATTAACCACAGCAACGCAAATAAACAAAAATAAAAAAAGTGAAAATATGACCGAGTGTCAGTGGAGGGTGGTCGAGAGCAGCTGTTTACATTGCAAAAAGCATTCGAGTGCAGCGCAAACAACATCAAGCAACAACAACCGGCAACAGACAGACAACGCACAGATTGGACATGCAACACTGGCGGCTAGGACTTTCGGCGGCACGCATACCAGGCGACCTCGGAGAGGTATGTTTAATACTATCAGCACCGTTGTCGGCTAGTTCCCTTAAGCCCTCGACTACCCTCTGGTGCCTGTACTGTTGTTTTCAATTCAATTCAATTGTTTTGCCTTTTTGTCCGGCAATCACAGCACGGCATGTTTATTTGCAGCTTGTTTATTTGTTTGCCTGTTTGTAGTTCTTCTTCCCATTGTTTTCCCTGCGCCCACTCTTTCAATGGTTTCCCATTTTTAACGCCCCGTGACTTCCTGGATACCCATCCCGACACACCTATGCGGCGACGAGCAAGTAAATTCAAACTGACACATAATCCGCTTGGCCTCCTGTAAGTGCATCTGAGTGCATCAATAGATACCTTAGTTAGTTTTAATCAGATGGCACCAAAAATTGAAATGTTTAAATGGCGACAAATCCTCCAGCCAATATATGTGGCCCAACTTTACTTGTGGTATACAGTATACTTAGTATACTTCTTAGGGCGAAATAGAAGTTGGTGCGTATTCGCTTCAAATTTTCACTTGTCGATAAAGCCGCTACTGATATTAATTTTGGGTAAGTGAAATAATAAAAGCAAGCTGCCAGGCCAATCGTGATTTTTGTATCTTGAAAATTGTGACGACCCGCGCATTCTATTCCTATATATATGCAAATTTTTCAAAAACCAACACATTTGGTCATCATAAAAAGTCCACCATTTTTTCTGATTAAGTCAAAGTCCCCGCTGGTAGCACAGCAACGCAGCTATATCAAAAAGCGGCACAGGAGCAGAAAGGTTGAAAAATTTTTAAATTAAATTTATGACGGCTTTTGTATCCTACGTTCATATTTTGCATGTCGCTGCTTATGCCCACCAAGCATTATTGTTGTTTTTAATCCGGACCTCTAGACTATCCAGTATCATCATCCCCATAATAACTGCAAGCCTGTGAAGAGTTTCCTTCTGTTTTCCTTTATTGCTGAACAACAACAATAAAATGCTGACGAACCGTACGAAGTCTTCATGGCGACGGTTCTTATCAGGTAGACCCACGGTAGGTTGCTTCTCCGAATCTGTTTGATTTTAATTACACGCGCGTCTGGTTGCTGGTCATGCTCCACTATTTTGACTCTCAGTTGCTGTTTCATGCATGTGCAAAACAATCTTTTTGTTGTTTTCAAGGTTCGGAAGCAAGAGCCCACAAACGCAATGCTGTGGTTGAATGCAACGAAATGTTGGAACGAACATGTTGCAGGCACACTTCGGGATGTTCGAATTAAAATTTCCCCTTGGCACTTAAATATTCGGAGTGAAGTTGTTGGCAAAACGCATTAGAGATAACTTGTGAAGAAAGTTTAAATAGAGAGCACATATCCATAGCTATGATTACCCTGTTAACTGATACTCGATGATTTACATGTTATATATTCAAAGCTATACAAAGTGCTAATTAATTAATTTTTACAATAATATGTTATAATCTGAAAAATACTATAAACTGAAACAAAAACAAGTAAGAGGTTCTAGTCGGGAGCTCCCGACTAGGGGATTCCCTGAACCCTCTTCGTCCAACACCAAATGCAAATATATGTATATACTATTCAAGAAGCTACATGTCAAGTTTGCTGACTCTAGCTCTTATTATTTACCAAAATTGCCCAAAAAACAGGATTTCGATATAGATTTTAATCGATTACTTGGAAACGGGGCAAGTAATCGATTATCGGTAGATCGACTCGGCTATTGATGCTGATCAAGAATATATATACTTTATGGGGTCGGAGATGCTTCTTTCTGCCTGTTACATACATTTGCATTTTGCACAAATACAATATACCCTTTTTACCCATTTTATATGGGTTCAGGGTATATAAATATGTATTTTTTTTTAATTCAATAGATTTACGACGATCGCCAAAAATTACCCTAATGCCCCTTTACTGAAGGTTTTGCACGGCAAGCCTCAAGCCTGCCTTTAAATTCGCCGTATCCTTAAGTTTACTCACCGAACTTTGTCCTTACGACAAATGAGAACGCAATCGACTTCATGCTGTTCTCGCTCAACGACTCTAGTTGCGAGAAACAACCACGACTTACTACGACCTCACACGAAGCATTACCGACAGTCAGCCGAGCAAATAACGGTAATCGGCAGCACGCGCTCAGCAAAAAGCGTTTAGTTGAAAGTGAACTCTGACATAAGGTTGACACGTTCCGCGCGCGTACGCGATTTCGTTCCCTGCTGCTCAAAAGATAGATAGAGTTATAGATTCAGATATTGACCCAAGAGTGAATCAGTTTCGCTGTGTTGTCGCTTATGCATGTGCGTACTTAAGCTGCCAAGAAGGTAGACTTAATTGGCTAATTAACTCGAACAAGCCTTGAATTACTCGCATAAAACACAAAAAGTTGATTAAAATCAAATAACTGTCATCCATAAAAGGTGTATAAAAAGTGAAAAACTTATACGAATGTGTACCGAAATGTTGTCATAGATTGGGCCTCCTTACAATAAGGTAATAAATTTTCAGATATAAAAGCGAACTCTGGTAATACTAGCGAAATATATGATATATACTTAGCAAAACGATTACTGAAGCCGGTGGACAATAGCGCCACTTACCGTGGAACTCGTCCAAACGGGAGCTACTTGTAAAATACGTCTGCCCAAGACACTGAATATCACATTAAGGAGATAAACGTGTACGTGCTAAAGAGACAAAACCAGCCAACCAGCTCAACGGCTGGCAGACTGGCAGCCTACAAGTGTTTACATTTTACATTTTATGAGATAATACCCGACACCATAAACAGAAATAAAAAAAAAAAAATAACAAAACGCAAATATAATACGGGGTTGGGTTGCAAACCGCCAAAGACGCAGGAAGTTGAATATCTCGCTACATTTACGGCTGCCAAAGAAATACTCCGACAATAACACGAGCAATAAAAGGCTAACGTCTTGGGCAAAAGGCTCAGTCGCAGCCGCACTCGCATTGCCAACCACAAACTTAGCCAACAGCCGGTGCAAAATAAGTAAAGTAACAAAACCAATTTTCATTGTTTTGCGGTGGCTTGAGGCGCTTTCACCAACTACGCAGGCAAATGCCAAGGCGCCGAAATGCGGAAAACCAAAGAGTAAAGCAAAATTTCCATCAAGACGCCAAAACCCACAAGAAGACCGGCAAGAAATTGTGCAAATGCCAACATGAAATAAGGCAAAACTGAGCTGACTGCGAGATGAGAAATAAACACATGCGCCGACGTGCGAAGAAGAAAACAAGCAATGGGCGAAATATATTCTTGAATAGATATACAACAAAGGATGTTGTCGGAAAATAGCCCAAATATTTGGTGCGCTGCCTCTAATAACGCCAACACATAGAATTGACACACAACCTATTTCCCGACATGCAGAAAGATATTTCTATTTTGCCTTTGTTATAGCAATAAATGTCTCCTGGAATTTGCAGATAGAGGAAATTAAAGCAAAAGTCTTGAGAAGACGCATAATAATCCTTAATTATTATGAGAAGCTTCAAGCCCAGCCGTATTCCACTATGTGATGCATAAATTAGTCGTTAGCAGCTGTTGATTAGCAACTTTGCGCTTATCCCAATTTCGTTAGCCAAAATGAATGGTATTCTTAGGTAAGCCTAAGAGAGCCTAAGCCACACACACGCGCACTATCTGTCGCTTAATGCAATTGATTTGTGTTCACTAATTTGGTTACACGAGTCAATTATCTTACTGTGAGAAGATATAGCTATAGCATAACAACGAAGCACAACGAACATCTAACAAGGCAGCCTGACAACCACCATGGCCGAAATTGCCAGTTTTAATTCCATTAACACAATCGTACGCAGTAGTCCCAATCTAAGGCGCTAGAGTTTGTTTCATACCATTGGCTTGTCTTAACCTCAATTTTTTTGTTTTCCACACATTGGCACAAAAATTGATTGATAATCAATTGAGAGGATTTTCTTACGCCTAAAGCTTTTCTTTTCTCTATACACAGTCCTTTGTCTGTCTGTGGTTTAGACTTGTGCAGAATACTTGTTCAGGGCGGCAGCGAAAACGTATTGCTCTGTTGCAGTAGTGCGTACGTGGTCACGGCACAAGTTGTTCTCTGCTCCGGTTCTCGGGATGTTTTTGGGGCAGGATGTTCCTGTTGCGCCCCAGTTTTTTTTCGTACTGCGTTAAACGATTTAAGTAATTTATAAACGCCTTTAGCAAGCAAAACTAAGGAAGAGCAGCAACAACTTTATTGGATTCTTTTTTTTTTTTTATTTGTTTTACTAACACTTTTTTTATCGCCTGCTTAAGCTGCCTTTTACTATCTGCCTTGTAATTGTTTGGCTTTGTTAGCTGCCAAGAGCTTCATTTGTGTTAATTTAATGCGATTAGACAGTTAACTAGCGGCACAAGCCAGACCATTAAATGTCTTCGATTTCGATTGTAGCATACATACTACTATAGAGAAACTTGTTCTTTGCAACACTTTTAATATATTTTCTTGTTCAAATAGAACTCATCAACCGGGACATATTACATTCTTCCTTTTTATTGGGGTATGCGAATATCTTTAAACGCATTTCACTAACAACTCGATAATTGTGACAATTTAGAAGAAGAACAAATGTATGTATGTATGTACCCACTAGAGATGCAATATATGTGGCCTTACTCTGTTCTAATTTTGGTTTCCTTACTGTGCAGCTGTAGTTATTATACAATTTTTAATTAAATTTTATACTGACTTTTGAATGTCTCCTCGAATATTTGTGTGTTCAGCTCCCGCTTCAGACTTTATACTCTGAGTCTTATTTCTCAGCTATTTCTAGAAAAAGACAGTTGCCGGCTGCCACTGCCAAGTAACCTTCAGCACGTTTTTTCGTCCCACTCTTTGCTGTCATTTTTAAAATATTTGTAAAAGCTCAACGGCCTGTCACTGAATATTTACCCGCTGGAGCTTGTATACCCAAAATAATTTGCCTACAAAGATGAAATACTTTAATATATTATTGCCACATGCTGCAATACCACATTCATTCTGCAACTGCTGGTTTCTGAAATGTTTACAAACAGCACCAGAAAATTGTTATTCTTAACGTCACAAGTTATTTCTATTAGGATTATTTCTATAATTATTAACTTGTTTGCAAGTATGACCCATGGATAGCGAACAAACATGGATATAAGCGCGACTGTACAAATTTATATTCACCCAAGAACCTCTGCTTATGCCGATTTTACCCCCGAAGCTGTGATGGATTTCACCGAACACCATTTTCACGCGCAGTTTAAAGCAATTTTCAGGGTTTTATTCAAGTTTCTACTAATTATACGAGTTTTTTCTTCCGACAGCTTCTGCGCTCTACCCCAGCAAGTTACAATGTTTACTCGCGCAAAACTTTGCTCGTAAAGCATATTACAAATCCTTGCAAGGGTTTCACTTACCGACTAGCTGACAGATTGGCAGGAGATATTTTGACAACATCATATTTATCCAGGCCTTTTTGCGTCACGAACCGTTTTGTCTTCTTTAAGTTGTTGTGACTGGAAGCATATAAATGAAAGACCTATTCGTTCGCTACTTTGCAACAAAAAATTCAATTTTGGTGCTTTAAGACGTTTCCGCTGTTTTCGTCTAACAATTTACCAAAAAACATCTCTATGTAAATTATTTAGAAAAATATACAATTTTGTTTTGGGACTATATTGTTCCTTTTTTGCTGCATACATTTTTGCGCAACTTTTGTCAGCTTCAAAGCCAGCTTTTATTTATTAAATTTTCCTGTTCAGCTTTTGTTGTGGATTCTATTGTTGCAGGAAGTCGTCAAGAAATAGTTGAGTTTGCATTTAAATTATTTTTTAAACCACATTTCCCACGATATTTTAGGTTACTTTTTATAGGGTAACAAGTAACCTTAACGGGGACTACTCGACCTTTTTGCTGCTATTGTTAACGTAGAAAGGCTTGTAATAAAATCAAGAACACAATGCGAATGAGTCGCCCTCAAATGTGCACCTATATTTTATAGTCATTTCTTCTTTTCAGTTTTTTTTTTTTTTTTAAATAATATCAAATTTTGATAAACATTTGTGGATAAGAAGTTTCCGTATTTCTGATGGAAATTAACACTCTGTTTTTCTTTAAGTGCAAATTATTGACCTACTTACTTATTTATGACAGGTTCCTTGTGCAAAATAAGTTACACAGAAAAGCTTTTTCTATATATACATTTAATTTAATCAAAGCATAGATGATGACAAATGTACGATAACCTAGTATCCGAAAACAAAAATAGAAGTGAATTGCAAGCGTTGCGTAATGTGCCTATGACTTAAAAAACGGTGATAATAAAATATCCTATTTGAAATTAAACCTGTGAGCACAGTTAAATTTGAATTTAGGTATCAATACCGTGAGTTGGGGGATTTTTGAGGGCGATTATATTTACAAGCAATTTCCACTTTTAATTGCTAAAACTGTCAGAAAAATTCTCTATAATTTCTTAAGCGAAAAGAATTATTCAATAAGAATTGAAGAGCTTATCATCAATATATACGGCCACATGGCTGAAGCATATATTATATCTAAGATTGTCGATTAGAACAACTATGGTAGCTTAACGTAGCTGAACAATGAGTATTCTTTCTAGTATACTTTATTTAATTCCAAGTATATTTATTACAATTTTTCGTATTTTGAATGTAATTTAAATTACAATTGTAATTAGATTTCTTTTTAATATCTGCCTGACTTCTAGTGAAAAAAGCTTTTTCACGAGCATTGAGCAGAATTGAAATTAGCTTCTACTTATATTCCAAGCAAACCAAATATACTAGGATATTTAATTCCCCTGTGTGCGTGTCGCGTCGTACTCAGGTCTATGTATGTGCTTTACCCAGCCTTATAGTTCCAGTTCAAGGCTCGACTAAGGGCATCTGTGCTGTGGAACTCTGTTGTATAGTGTGTCGTGTTTATTAATTTGCAAAATTAGCGCTTTACGATTTGTTAATTAAAATTCTGTCGGTGCCAGCAATGCCAGCCAAGCGCCCACGCTGCTGACTTTAATAGTGCTCATTAGTTTATTGAAGTGCGTGTGAGCTGCTTCGAATGCATTTGCACAACGATTTGGGAAGATGCTTATTATACCCTGAACCCATTAAAAATGAGTAAAAAGGGTATATTGTATTTGTGCAAAATCTAAATGTATGTAACATAAAGTATATATATTCTTGATCAGCATCAATAGCCAAGTCGATCTAGCCATGTCCGTCTGTCTGTCTGTCCGTCCGTCCGGATATTAGAACCTATTAGAGGTAGATAAATTTTTGAAATTTTAGATGTAGGTCCTTCTAGTGCCTGCGCAGATCGAGTTTGTTTCCGATAATCGATAACTTGCCCCGTTTCCAAGTAATCGATAAAAATCTATATCGAAATCCTGTTTTTTGGGCAATTTTGGTAAATAATAAGAGCTAGAGTCAGCAAACTTGACATGTAGCT